GCAAATAAAACTCTTGTTCCGGTGATCGCATCCTTTTCAGTGACTATATAGATCCCGGTAACAGCAATAGGTCTTGGTAACTTGTCATTGGTAACCAAGTTGCAAAACTAATGTACATCCATGCATGAGCCACTTGCGGCACAATAGCTTCTCCAACAAACCCAAGAGCCTGTTTAATTTACATATCACCTTTGCCAAAGGCCGCTTGACTTATAGACCCCCTCCGACTACCCGCAGTCCACACCAACAAGTAAGCCTCATTCTTTCAGGACTGTTCTACCCGCTGTGTTCAGTCTCAACAAGTGAATAAAAGAGGCGCATGATCCTGCAAAAGGTATCGCCATTCAGATGATGGTAAAGATGTTAGTGATGGTAACGGGGAATAAACAAGCAAACAATTACCATCGCCTTGAATGGAGGTAACTTCCTTGCCATCTACTTTGAGGATAAGATTGGAGAGGAAGGGGCAATTACCACGGGAAAAGGTAACTTCATTGAGAACCTGAAAAGTAAAAGATTATGGTTACGGCGAAATGATAGGTACAGCTCGATTTTCCAAAAACAGGAAAGCAAAAAGAACAGTAGATGGCCTAAGTAATACAATTTCGTAATCGAAATACGAGTGAATAGGTTACCGTACAGTTGGCCTTGTTATTTTTATTAGTTGACTAAAGTTGAGGCTCCGAAAGCCCTTTACTGTTAAATTCTATTACTGAAGTGAAGTGAGTGAGTGAAGAAGGACAAAGGTCCGCGCAGGTGAATAACTTACATGGTAGGAGGTCAAACTGATTTGCTGTGAGCTCTCCTCACTGCCGCTGTGGGAGTTGGAATCCGAGGTCGACCGACGAATTACACGACAACAGAGCCGCGAACGCAGCATGCAGGGACCGCCCTCTTAAAGTAGGAGAAGTTGTAAAAGTGGTTGTAAGTGGTTGACTATGGGGTATTTGGACTCATTCAGAAAACGTTAGTTAAGGACTCTTGTGACACAGGGGGGCAAACGAGACTGACAGATGTTGCCAGTACAATGGGTACATTTATTCAATTAGATTGTTTATATAAATAAATAAAAGGAAATAAAATGCAAGCGAAAAATTTGAAATACTAGATAACGCGAGCTGTAAACAAGGCGAAAGGATGAAAACCAAAGGCATTGGTTAGATACTCCAGACGAAATAAACCCCGGCCCGTGATAATAAACCCCGTCGAGGGCAAAAGTGTTAAGCATATTTTAGAATCCGATTCTCATGATGGACTGCTGTAAAACAGGAATGGTGGTAATAGGGGCGTTTTATGGATGGAGTAAACGAAACTCACAACTGCTAGCGAAAAGTAAAAGTTCAAAAGTAGACTTTTTAACATTACCATTGGGTACGAGGGCCACACTACAGTTCGACCATCGATTCCGACAAGGTCCACCATGTGCTCTACAGCGTGATGGTGCAGGAGCGGCGACTTATACGTGGAGTAGTTTAAAAAAATAGAATACTTGCGTTGCACCTACCACACTCGCTCTTCCCTTACC